CCCATATGACCTGAATGCATTTGTCGCACTGAGTCCAGGTGTCAGATGTTTACTTATCGTTGGTAGATGTCACAGGGCAATGAACTAATTAATGCCATTCTACGATACATTTATTTCAGTAAGTTTGGGTGCAGACGGGAATAGACTGAAAGCAATTGGTGGGACTTGGTTGTCTCAGTGAAGCTTGCGTATGATCTGGCCCCGTTTTGGGGTCATATTGATCACGAATATTTGGCGTAATCCGAGTTGACAATCGCAGGATTATAGAGGGGCTAGAGTTTAGGGGAAAATGGCCACATTCATTCCGTAACCTCTGGAACCTCCCAAATGCATGTCCTTTGCAGAGCCATTCGTTTGTGGGAGCCCGTCAGCCTTCATTGTCTGTGTAGTCATATAAACTGCTTTGGTCGTCAGGCCACTCGTAGGTCACGGCCTTATGGTTGTCGGGGTTAAGGAACTCGCTGCAACTGCTGTAGTAGACCGTGGTCTGTGTAGGCTTGATAGCCGGAGCAGTTGCGACGCCAGGTATTACAAAAGTTCTAGAAGAAGGAACAACGAATTGGAAATTTATAATGACTCTTCTCTCGTTCTCAATAACTCTGTTGCGTCCCAGGACAGAAAGGAGCTATTCAAAATAATTATTTCATAAAAGGCAACTTATGTAAGCTGTAGAAAGGTGGCCAAATCCAGAGATTTATTGAATTTGGCTTCATTAATTGTATAAATAGATAGTCACCTTAAGTGGGAAAGACTTCACCCTGAATATTTTATCAGTTTTAACTTTAATCTGTATGCAAAAATATAATTCTGACGAGGATATACTTCTCTTGACAAATGGGTATGAATATAATTGGAAAGGATGACTGTTTTGGCAAAAATTACGCAATTTTGACAACTGGACGAATAGTTTTGATAGCAGCTTGGACTAGTCGACACGACATTGATCCAGACAAAGATGACACGAGCCGGAATCGAAACGCCTACCTACTCCGAAGTAGTCCTAGAAGGCGAGTGGAACGGTCTCCACAATCACTTGGAGAGCACTGCGCCGAGTTTCTCGTTGACAGAGACTCATCCTCTTCGGATGCCTTAACGCACACACGCACTTAGATGCTTGCAAACATATATAAATACATAAACATTTACATACATGCATACATTCAACATCCCTTTATACATGCATGCATGCTCAAGTATAGACCTCTCGGTAAAATATTCTGGGGAAACTTGATATGAGAGAGGTAGGCGAGACTGGCTCAAAATGGCCCGAGTCTGACGAATTGGTAATGCTCGAAGCAGACATGAGATTCATTTTGTGACCCTTAAGGAGGGCGTTTTGTATAACGCTGACTTGAAATGATGCTGGAAGGAGGCTAGACGAAACGCCGGGCGATTGGTCCGTAAGAACGTTGCGCCTAAGGCCTGAGCAAAGCCAAGGCTGGCTCGGTTGGAATCAAGCAGCTGACAAACTGCCCTTGCCGGAAACACAAACAACGATCCCATACGAAAATGCCAAAGAAAGCCCCACTCAAATAGTAACTAGCGCAGGAGAGGTCCAAATACAACATTGCCAGGTGAGGCCCGGCCTGTACAAGAACGACTTTTTAGAGGCGGGTAGGATTGAATTCAGTGATCCTCACTTCGGTGGGGAAGATTGCAAGATCTCTGTTCACATCACTGACTCGAGTCCGTAGTCGAGATCTACTGCTAGTCTCGAAACAGTGGACGCGTAGGTTCTTTTCATATAATTGTGGGAAAATTCAGCTACCTTAAACGGATTGTGGTGGACATATCTCATACATTTTAAATCTGTCTATCTAAATTTTTTTTAAGGTATGAAGACCAACATAGTCATATTGGTAGGAAGACTAATTGGAACGCACCTAGTCCGGGGTCCATTGTCTGCATGATCAATTTCAAAGTTGAACCGTGGACGTGGAACATTCCCAAACGTTTCGCCGGCATCGTAGTCGGCATCGTCAGTGAGTATCGCTATCCTAAGCACCACACAGCTACTCGTCAGAGACAAGTTAAGCCGATCCTTTGACCAAGCGTATGCTAAACAGTTATGGTATCTCCCCTTCCGCCCTGTCCGTCAAAGAGACAAGTGAAGCCGATCCTTTGACCAAGCGTATGCTAAACAATTATGGTATCTCCCCTTCAAAGCCGATCCTTTGACCAAGCGTATGCTAAACAATCGGCTTTACTTGTCTCTTTGACGAGTTGTTGTATGGTGCTTAGGATGGCGATACTCACTGACGATGCC